AGGCTGTGGTGGCCGGGAGCGGCCACTGCACTCCAGTCTGGGCGACGGAGTGAGACTCCAACTCCAAAAAAAAAAAAGAATGACAAAATGTTTAATCTATCTTTCTTGTTTATTTGACTCTTGGCTCTAATAGTAAGGTCTTTTTTACAGGCAGACAAGTTATTAAAAGTCTTGAAAGCCCACCTTAAACATGAAGCAGGAAAAGAAAATGAGAATCAGGTGAGTAATGTTTTTCACCATCACTAGTAAAACAGTCACATTTAGTTATAAGCAATTAACACACAATTAGTGATGATATATGACCAAAGAGATCATTATTGGTAAGAGTGCCAGGAACTGAATCTTTTCACAATAACTGTTTGTTATGAATGGTGAAACTGCCTTGCAGCAAGTAGTCCGTTGAATACGATGTTCTTACACAAAGCAAAGGATAAGTACTAGTTGCCAAATGTTACGAGAGATGGCATGATATGAGTAGGGAAGCAACTGGACTTGAAGTCAGAAGGACCCAGGTTAAGTAGCAGTTCTCATTTTTTTCTGTGTAATCTTGGAAAACTCAAACTCTTCCTTTTTTTGAGTTGGAGTCTCATTCTGTCACCCAAGAGTGCAGTGGCATGCTCAAAGCCACCACAGCCTCAACCTGCTGGACTCAGGGGATCCTTCCACCTCAGCCTTCCAATTAGCAGGAACTACAGACATAAGCCACCATGCCTAAATTTTTTATGTTTTATAGAGACAAGGTCTTGCCAAGTTCCCCAGGCTGGTCTCGAATCCTCCCAAAGTGCTGGGATTACAGGTGTGAACCACTGTGCCTGGTGGAAACTCTTTTTCTTTAAAGTGGAAATAGGGCTGGACTCGGTGGCTCAGCCTGTAATCATCCCATGCTTTGGGAGGCTGAGGCGAGTGGATTGCCTGAGCCCGTGGGTTTGAGACCCGCCTGGACAACTTGGCGAGACCTCATCTCTACAATAAATCAAAAAAAAAATTAGCCGGGCATGGTAGCGCCTGCCTGTAGTTCCAGCTACTTGGAAGACTGAGGCAGAAGGATCGCTGGAGCTTAGCAGGTTGAGGCTGCGGTGGCCAGGAGCGGCCACTGCACTCCAGTCTGGGCGACAGAGTGAGACTCCAACTCAAAAAAAAAAAAGAATGATCCTTGGACAGATCAGTTAATGTATCTGGCAGTGAAGGTAACTATAAATATGAAGTGAAAATCTTAACTTTTTTTTGAGTCAGAGTCTTGCTCTGTTGCCCAGGCTGTAGTGCAGTGGCACACTTATAGCCACTGCAGCCTCGACCTCCTTGGCTCAAGGTGATACTTCTTCTAAGTAGCTGGAACCACAGGCATGCGCCACCATGCCCAACTGATTTTTTTTTTTGAGTTTGAGTTTCACTCTGTTGCCCAGGCTGCAGTGCAGTGGCATGCTCACAGCCATCCCAGCATCAAACTGTGCTCTAGCAATCCTTCCACCTCAGCCTTCCAAGTGGCTGGAACTACAGGTGCACACTATTACACCCGGCTAATTTTTTATTTATTGTAAAGACAAGATCTTTAGAGTTGGAGTTTCAGTCTGTTGCCCAGGCTGGAGTACAGTGGCATGCTCCTGGCCACTGCAGCCTCTACCTGTTGGGCTCAAGTGATTCTTCTGCCTCAGCCTTCCAAGTAGCTGGAACTACAGGCACGTGCCACTATACCTGGCTAATATTTTGATATATTGAAGAAATTAGGTCTCGCCACATTGCCCAGGCTGGTCTCGAACCCATGGGCTCTAGCAATCCTCTCACCTTGGCCTCCCAAAGTGCTGGGATTTGACTTGAGTCACGGAATCAGGCAAAAGTTTTTATTTTAACTAAATTATCTTTTATTTTATTTATTTATTTTTTTAAGACAGTGTGTCTGTTAAGACTGGTTGTATTGGTAGACTGGGATTACAGGTGTGAGCTACTGCAACCGACTCTTTTTTCTTTTGTGTGTGTGTGGTTTTTTGTGTTTTTTTGGAAAGCAGGATTTATTGAGGGGACAGAAAAGCTCCCACAGTGGGAGGGGACCCGAAGGGGTTGCCCTTTTGTGTGTGTTTCAATGGTTAAGGATACATGATTATAATTCCTTCTGAAATCAAGATTTTATGTCAATTAGTAATTGATGGGTTAAATTAAAAATGATCTGTAGATATTTCATGCTCTACATCTCAAATAAGTTTTGAAAAAGTTCAATAAGAACAGGATGTGCCAGGCTTGGTGGCTCAGCCTGTAACCCCAGCGCTTTGGGAGACCGAAGTGAGTGAACTGCCTGAGCCCGCGGGTTTGAGACCTACCTGGGCAACTTGACGAAACATCATCTCTACAATAAATCAAAAAATTAGCCAGGTGTGGTAGTGTGAACCAGTAGTTCTGGTTACTTGGAAGATGAGGTGGAAGGATCGCCGGAGCCCAGCAGGTCGAGACTGCAGTGGCCACGAGTGTGCCGCTGCCCTCCAGCCTGGGTGGCAGTGAGACTCCAACTCAAAAAAAAAAAAAAAGAACAGAATGTGATAGTCAAAATTCAGTCAGATGTAGGATTCTTAAGTGAGTGTTAATAGAGTTTAAATAGGTGAAGTAGGTAACCCCTGGACAAATCAAAGAAAGTTTATTTAAGGATACTGCAGCAAGTCAGCAATGTCCAAATACATTATACAGCAAACAGATCATTACTATTATCTAGGATAAATAGATGAATAGACTTACAAGCTCCCAAAATCATCACCTAGAAAGTACACAGTTGTGGACTATTGAGCAAGGGTGACACTGGACCTTCTGGAATCCTTAAATATATGAGTTGGAACAGCTCTGAATGTAGGTTAGACTGAAAGTGTGCTGGAGACTCATTCATCTGGACAGAATGCTTCTTTAGTATTAGATTCAGACAAAACTGTTAGAGGGTATATCATGGTTCAGTCAGGAATGAACACACTGCTCCCTGATCATTGTCAGACTCCCAGATTAACATCACCTGAGGTACATGGGATTAAAGTGAGACATCTCTGGGAATCACAATAATGATAGGTATTTAAACCATTTACAGGACCTGTCTTGTACTGGGCTAATATAGGGAGGGGTACTTGAAAAGTGTCTTTTGAGTCCAGGCATAGTGGCTCACGCCTGTAATCCCAGCACTTTGGAAGGCAGAGGCAAGAGGATTATCTGAGCCCAGGGGTTTGACACCAATCTGCAACTTGATCAGACCTTGCTTCTCCAATAAATAAAAAAATTAGCTGGGTATGGTGATGCATACCTGTAGTTCCAGCTACTTGGAAGGCTGAGGTGGATGCCAGGCATGGTGTCTCATGCCTGTAATCCTAGCATTTTGGGAGGCTTAGATAAAAGGATTGGCTGATCCCAGGGATTAAAGACCAGTCTGGGCAACTCGGCGAGACCTCGTTTCTACAATAAATCAAAAAATTAGCCGGGCATAGTGGCACATGCCTGTAGTTCCAGCTACTTGGAAGGCTGAGCTGGTAGAATCACCTGAACCCAGCAGGTAGGCGGTGGCTGTGAGCGTTCCACTACACTCCAGACTAGGTGACAGAGTGAGACTCCAATTCAAAAATAAATGAATAAAATTTTTTAAAAAAGAAATACTTCTTTTGGCCTCATGTGGTGGCTCACGCTTGTAATCCCAACACTTTGTAAAGTCAAGGTGGGTGGACTACTTGAAGTCAAGAGTTCAAGGCCAGCCTGGCCAACATAGCGAAACCCTGTCTCTACAAGAAATACTAAAATGTCTCTTTATATTCTAGCAATATGTATAACTCAAGGGTATCACTTGTATAGTGAAAAGAGTATCCTCTTTTTACTTTCTTCCCCTATGACTATCCAGTATCTTGGAAAGTGGGATCCAGATAGTATTTTTCTTCTCACATCTGAAAAATCTCTGCTCCTGCTGCTCATCTTGAAGAGGCAAAAAATAAAAATAAAATCTTGACCTCTTTGACGTTTGTGATTACCTTATCTAATCTCTCATCTGCTCTATCCTAGTTGCTCTCCAGAGTTCCCAATCTCTTAGTCTGGCCTTATTTTGGGTGTGTTTAGAAGTCTACCTACATGTCTCTTACTACCCTGGCCTCCTGGTTCCTTAATTCTAGTGATCTTTCTGTCCCCCTTCCTCCCTTTCCTCCTTCCTTCTTTGCTTCCTTCCTTTTTTCCATTATTCTTTCCTTATCTTTTAGAGACAAAGTTTCAATCTGTCACTCAGGCTAGAGTGCAATGACATGAGCTTAGCTCACTAGAGCCTCAAAGTCCTGTGCTCAAGGAATCTTCCAGCCTCAGCCTGCAAAGTAGCTAGGAATACAGGTATGCTACCATGCCTGGTAAATTTTTTCATTTTTTATAGACATGGGGTCTGGCTGTTTTGCCCAGCCTGGTCTTGAACTCTTGACCTCAAGTAACCCTTTCAACAACTCTACCTCCCAAAGTGACAGGATTACAGGTGTGAGCTACCACTCCCAGCCATAACTTTTGTTTCTATTCTTCATTGGCCATCCACTTCTTTGGGCATATCCTGGACCTTACATCACTTGGAACTATTCCACCTCTCTAATATTTCACTTCTGTCTAAGGCCTTTCATTTTTAAGCTTCTTTATTTTACTTTTTTTTTTAATTGGAGTCTCACTTTGTCACCCAGGCTGGAGTGCAGTGGCATGCTCACAGCCACCACGGCCTCGGCCTGCTGGGTGCAAGTGATCCTTCCGCCTCAACCTTCCAAGTACTTGGAACTACAGGCATGTGCCATCACGCCCGGCTAATTTTTTGATTTATTGTAGAGATGAGTTCTTGCCAAGTTGCCCAGGCTGGTCTCAAACCCATGGGCTCAGGCAGTCCTCTAACCTCAGCCTCCCAGGCCTCCCAAAGTGCTGGGATTATAGGCGTGAGCCACTGCGCCTTGCCATCAGCTTTTTTTTTAAGCCTTATAATAACTTATTTATTTATCAACTCTTAGAATTAAGCTAGGGAAACAAGGCACAGGGGATTCAAGTAAGGTTGTGTAACAGACTTTAAGTGTTATCAGCTTTGATACTTAAAATGAATAGATGAGAAATAAAGTTGAGATATAACAGGAGTACAAGAGTTGTAGGAACATATAAGGATGTTAATATCTGTTTTGCTGGTATTATGAGACAAGATTTAAAGTAAATTCAAAACTGTAAAGGTAACTAAGTAGACTGATTAAAGTGGTATAATTCTGTTAGGAAGAAGGTGGCAAGATGAGAGTACAAATAATCTAAATATTAGCACATGACAGAAATTAAAAATATCTACTGAGGCCGAGTGCAGTGGCTCAAGCCTATAATCCCAGCACTGTGGGAGGATGAAATGTGAGGGTGAAGTGTGAGGATTGCTTAAAGCTTAGGAGATCCAGACTAGCCTAGGCAACATAGCAAGACCTCCCGTCTACAAAAAAAACAGCTGGGTGTGGTGGCACATGCCTGTAGTCTCAACTACTTGGGAGCCTTAGAGGGAAGAATCACCTGAGCCCAAAAGGTCAAGACTGCAGGAAGCCATGATTATGGCCAGTTTGGGAAAAAGACTGAGACTCCAACTCAAAAAAGAAAAATAGCAGATCTGTTTTGAATGTTTTCATACTTAACCATAGTGTTTTTATATTGTAGTTTTTTACCTTTAGTTTATGAAAATATGGGGCAACCCTCTCGGGTCCCCTCCTGCTCTGGGAGCTATTCTGTTCTCTCAATAAATCCTGCTTTCTAAAAAAAAGAATGAAAGAAAATATGAATAAGGCTAGATATGGTGCCTCATGCCTGTATCCTAGCACTTTGGGAGGCCAGGATCGGGATTGCTTGAGCCCAGGAGTTTGAGAACAGCCTAGGTAACATAGAAAGACCTCGTCTCTACAAACAAACGACAAAATTAGCCAGGCAAGGTGATACATGCCTATATTCCCGGCTACTCATGAGTCTAAGGCAGAAAGATTACCTGAGCTCAGGAAGTTGAGGCTGTGGTGAGCTGTGATTGTGCCACTGCACTCTAGCCTAAGCAACGGGATGAGACCCTGACTCAAAAAAAAAAAAAAAAGAATGAGCATTCCATCACAAATCACTAAGTGATACTACAAGTAGCCATCTGAACTTAAGCCTTACAAGTAGCAAGGGTGGACAGAGAAACAACTGCCTTTCATTATTTCTTTCTTTCTTTCTTTATTTTTGAGTTGGAGTCTCACTCTGTTGCCCAGACTGGAGTGCAGTGGCCACTCCCAGTCACCGCAGCCTCAACCTGCTGGGCTCCGGCGAGCCTTCCGCCTCAGTCTTCCAAGTAGCTGGAATTACAGCCGCACGCTGCCATGCCTGGCTAGTTTTTTATTTATTTATTGTAGAGATGAGGTCTCACCAAGTTGCCCAGGCGGGTCTCGAACCCGCAGGCTCAGGCAATCTACTCACCTCAGCCTCCCAAGGCATGGGATTACAGTCTGAGCCACCGAGCCTGGCCTGCCTTTCATTAAAATCTCTTCTTTAGTATTTCATTTTTGTAGCCATATGTATATATTAGTTTCTTTTAAAAAATTAGAATTTACTTAGGGCAAAATACAAAAACACCAGGACCAAATCTAGCCTTTCTTTTATAGTTTCTAGGTAAGATAACAGACTTAAGAATGTCTTCCGGCTTGGTGCGGTGGCTCATGCCTATAACCCTAGAACTTTGGGAGGCTGAGGTGAGAGGATTGTCTGACACCACAGGTTTGAGACCAGCCTGGGCAACTTGGCGAGACCTCATCTCTACAATAAATCAAAAAATTAGCTGGGCATGGTGGCATGTGCCTGTAGTTCCAGCTACTTGGAAGGCTGAGGCAGAAGAATAACCTGAGCCCAGCAGATTGAAGCTGCGATGGCCATGAACATGCCACTATACTTCAGCCTGGGTGACAGAGTTAAACTCCAACTCAAAAAAAAAAAAAAGAGAGAGAATTTCTTCCTTTAGCCTGGACAACATAGTGAGAGCTGGCCTCTACAAAAATAAAAAAAATTAGCTGGACATGTTGGCGCTTGCCTGTAGTCCCAGTTACTCACCAGGCTGAGGTGGAAGGATCACCTGAGCTTGGGAGGTCAAGACTAAGGTGAGCTGTGATTGTGCCACACTGCATTCCAGTCTTGGCAACAGAGACCCTGACTCAAAGAAAAAAATGTCTTCCCCACACTTATGATAATATGTTCACCAATTTTTTTTCTAGTGCTTTTGTATTTTCACTTTTGATATTTAAATCTTTACTCCATCCAGATTTCATTTTAATGTGAGAGAAAAACCAAGTTTCTCAATCACCAAAAATATAAAAAATATTAGTTTTCTTAGCATCTTGAATAATGAATCCAACCTTTCCCCACTAATTTGAAGTACTACCATTATCATACAGAGATTTCTTACGTAAGCAGGTCTGTTTTGACTGTTCTGTACCTGAGCACAGTATTTCTATATTGTAGCTTTCGCTTTTAGTTTATGGTAATTCAAGTGCTTCTCACCTTACTCCCTTATTTTTACCTTTTATAACTTACTTTGCACTCTCAGAGATTCAATTTCCCCATCTGTGGATTAGAGATAATATCAGTGTCTCATAGGCTTTGAAAAATAGATGATATAAATCCATGTAAGAACTTAGCCTAGTAAAGTTGTAATATTAGTAATAATTGTTATTAGTTTATCATACAATGCCTAGTACATATTGTGTATTCAATAAATTCGTGCACCTTTAATAATTTCCTTATTTATGCACACTAGGATAACTTTGAATGCTTTTCCAGCCTGGTTTATTAACTCAGTTGTTAAATGTGATTATTTCTTCTTAAATGCTCTACAACTCAAGTCCTTCCTTATAATTTAGTGCTAAAGACTTTTAAAAATTACCTTTTGCATATATGATATGTTTTTTATTCAGTCTAAATTCTGGTTCTTTCTAAGCATTATAACTCTATACATAGGACATGAGAGATTAATATCTCTCCTTTCAGGATGAAAGTCAAACTTCTCCATTATCTCATGATGAGACTGAGATACAGATTAATAGTCAAGATCAAGTTGAGAGAAAGCCAGTTGGCCATGTCACCAAGACAAGGAGAAAGCGCAAGATGGTCCATGGGAACCCTGACTTCCAGGTGAATGGAAATGTACAAACTGAAAATATGCCACCACCTGTGCCAAAGTTGGCATATTCTTAGGGCACTCGCTTTTAAAATTTCCTCGAGATAGCAGGTATTGTAAGCACCATGAAAGCCCAGACCCGAGTCTAGTTGCTTATCGTCACATCCCAGAGCCTGGCCCCCAGGGAGCAGTTATGAAGTACTAAGAACACATTAAATATTTGTTGGATAGGCTGGGCACAATAGCTCACGCCTGTAATCCCAGCACTTTGGGAGGCAGAGGTGAGAGGATTGCTTGAGCCCAAGAGTTCGAGATCAGCCTGTGCAACTTGGCAAGACCTTGCCTCTACAATAAGTAATAAATAAATAAATTAATTAATTAACCAGGTGTGGTGGCACCCACCTGTAGTTCCAGCTACTTGGAAGGTGGAGGAGAAAGGATCACGTGAGCCCAGCAGGTCGAGGCTGTGAAGGCCATGAGCGTGCCACTGCACTCCAGCCTGGGCAACAGAGACTCCGACTCAAAAAAAAAATTTGTTGGAGAAGTATGAGTGTTCATTAAGTGTTAATTTAAGTGAGGTGTAGTAAATAAGAAGGAAAGAGAAACCAATATGGAATATGATTTTTTAAAAATTCTCTTTCCTAACTTGCCCCTGGCCTGGTGACCACCCTGTCCTTAGGCTTTCAGTTGTGTGGTCACAGGACTAGCAAGGGACTTCGCTCACTTGCTTTGAGTAGACTCTGATTTTATTCTTCTATCTTATTCTTTCATTCAAATGTAATTTTTATGAAGCATGGTCTTAGTTTTTTCTTTTTGTTTTTGAGTTGGAGTCTCACTCTGTCTCCCAGACTGGAGTGCAGTGGCCGCTCCCGGCCACACAGCCTCAACCTGCTGGGCTCCGGCGATCCTTCCGCCTCAGCCTTCCAAGTAGCTGGAACTACAGGCGCACACTACTATGCCTGGCTAATTTTTTGATTTAAGGTAGAGATGAGGTCTGGCCAAGTTGCCCAGGCGGGTCTCGAACCTGCAGGCTCAGGCAGTCCACTCACCTCAGCCTCCCAAAGCGCGGGATTACAGGCTGAGCCACTGAGCCTGGCTGGTCTTAGTTTTTTATTTTCTAGCTCCACATAATTGCTTGCTCTATAGATTGTCTAGGTCTCTTAGTGTTACTTTATCATCACTAAAAGAACTAATTGAGCCATTTATTTTATGCCTTCCAGTGTTTCCTAGTATCTCCTACTTCCAAATTCACATTCTCATGACACTGTGTGAGGCACAGACCCAATCCACTCATTCTCCTATTTTTCTGCCTTTAGCCTCTTTTCTCCCTCCTTTTGGTACCTATCTTTGGAAAGCAGTGATTACTTCTTGTTTATCATCTAAGTCTTATTGTCTTTTAAAATTTATGGCAGGATCATTCGGAGATAGAAATAAATGATCCTACTGAATTCCAGAATCATGAAAAGCCGGAGAACCGGGATCTCATTACAACAAAAGTTCCTTCTCTGCCAGCTGAGAGCCAAGAAATTGAGAATGAAGTTTCCTCAGGAAAAGGTGATATAAATGGTATGCTAGGTAACTTTTAAAAATTGGGCCGGGCATGGTGGCTCATGCCTGTAATCTCAGCACTTTGGGAGGCAAAGACGAGAGGACTGTCTGAGCTCATGGGTTCGAGACCAGCCTGGACACCATGGCAAGACCTAGTATCTACAATAAATAAAAAAGGAAAAAATAGCCAGGTGTGGTAGCACATGCCTGTAGTTCCAGCTACCTGGAAGGCTGAAGTGGAAGGATTGCCTGAACCCAGCAGGTTGAGGCTGCAGTGGCTATGAGTGTGCCACTGTACTCCAGCTTGGGTGACAGAGTAAAACTCCAACTCAAAAAAAAAAAAAAAAAAGAAAGAAAGAAAAATATAGAAGTATCCATGTACATGAGTTTCCTAGGATTGTTATAACAAAGTACTATACATTGGGTAGTTTAGAACAACTGGAATGGATTATTTCATAGTTCTAGAGGCTAGAAGTCCAAAATTAGTCTTTCTCAGAGCCTCTGTATAGAATTCTTTGCTTCTTCCTACCTTGTAATGGCTGGCGATTCCTGATGTTCCTTGGCTTACAGCTACTTTGCTCGAGTCTCTGCCTCTGTCATCAGATGACATTCTGTGTATCTGTCTTCTTAAAAGAACTCCAGTCACATTGGATTAGGATCCACCCAAATGACCTCATCTTAACTTGGTTATATCTGCAAAGACCTTATTTCTAAATAAGGTCATATCACAGATACCAGTAGTTAGGACCTCATATCTTTTGGGGGCCTTCAATTCAACCCATAGCACCATGTTATAGAACTTCTAGGTGTTCTACAATTAAAGCAGAAGGTAGATCCAAATATAAAATGCCATCAGGTCAGGTCATCTTTAGTAACTTTGGTTTTGATGTTTGCTTTTTTATTTTTTTATTATTTTTTAATTAAAAAAATTTTTTTTTGACTTGGAGTCTCACTCTGTCACCCAGACTGGAGTGCAGTGGCCGCTCCTGGCCACCGCAGCCTGGCCTGCTGGGCTCCGGCGATCCTTTCGCCTCAACCTTCCGAGTAGCCGGAATTACAGGCATGCACTACCACGCCCGGCTGATTTTTTGATTTATAGAGATGAGGTCTCACTGACCAGGCGGGTCTCGAACCCGCGGGCTCAGGCAATCCACTCACCTCATCCTCCCAAAGTCACAGGATTACAGGCTGAGCCACCGAGCCGGGCTTGATGTTTGCTTTTTTAGAGATAAGGTCTTGCTCTGTCACCCAAGGTCGAATGCAGTGGCAGTGATCATAGCTCACTGCAGCCTTAAACTCCTGGACTCAAGTGATCCTCCTGCCTCAGCCTTCCAAGTGGCTGGGACTACAGGCACATATCACCAAGCCCAACTAATTTTTGAAATTACTGCAGAGACAGGGTCTCACTATACTGACCAAGCTGGTCTTGGACTCCTGGGCTCAAGCAGTTCTTCTGCCTCAGCCTCCCGAAGTGCTAGGATTACAGGTGTAAGCCACCATGCCCAGCTAGTAACTTTGTATAGAAACCAGATTATAAGCCGGGCTCCGTGGCTCAGCCTGTAATCCCGTGCCTTTGGGAGGCTGAGGTGAGTGGATTGCCTCAGCCCGTGGGTTTGAGACCCGCCTGGGCAGCGAGACCTCATCTCTACAATAAATAAAAAAAAAAATCAGCCAGGCATGGTAGTGCATGCCTGTAATTCCGGCTACTTGGAAGGCTGAGGCAGAAGGATCGCCAGAGCCCTGCAAGTCAAGGCTGCGGTGGCTGGGAATGGCCACTGCACTCCAGTCTGGGCGACAGAGTGAGACTCCAACTCAAAAATAAAAAAGAAAAACCAGAATAAAGTTCTAGCCACTTGGAAGGCTGGGGTCAAAAGATTGCCTGAGCCCTGCAGGTCTAGGCTGTGATGGCCATAATCCTGCCACTGCACTCCAGCCTGGGTGACAGAGTGAGATTCTGACTCCAAAATAAAAAAAGAAAAAGAAAGAAACCAGAGTGGTAGGTGGAAACTATAGGGAAGTTGATCTCTACTTTGTGATAAAAGCCATCATTTTTCTCATTAGCTCTTCTGTCTGACTTCAAACACAGGGACAAAGACCTGTCTGCCTCCTCAACCAGGACAATTACAAGAGAACTGCAAAGCCTACCTTCCAAGTTGTGTAGCCATATTTACTATGATAAATGTATTTCTTTCTTAGTCTCTAACTTCCTTAAAACCTCTTCCTTAAACTTTTTCAACTAAAAGTTTATTTCAATAAGTACAGAAAACTCAGTTCTTCCATACCTAATTGAACTTGATGTTTTCTGATTTAATCCCTGCTAGTTGCAATAGGTATTAATTTTGCCCTGGTAATCTGCTGGGACCCTGAGGCTTGCCGGGGCAAGGGAAAGAGATTGAGAGAAAGGATGATCCATTCCAGTGTCTACCAAGCAGTAAAAAGCAGAATTTCTCATCTGAGCCTTCCCATTTTCCCTAGAACTTTGAGTGCCTTATTAAATCTAGAAAATTACAATCTGAGGTAGACCTGGAAATCTTCAATTTTTATTTTATTTTATTTTATTGTAGAGACGAGGTCTTGCCAAGTTGCCCAGTCTGGTCTTGAACCTGTAGGCTTAGGCAATTCACTCGCCTTGGGCTCCCAAAGTGCTGGGATTACAGGCTGAGCCACTGAGCCTGTCTGGAATCTTCCATTTTTTTTTTTTTTTTTTTTTTTGAGTTGTAGTCTCACTCTGTCGCCCAGACTGGAGTCTGGGCCACCGCAGCCTCGACCTGCTAGGCTCTGGCGATCCTTCCACCTCAGCCTTCCAAGTAGCCAGAATTACAGGCATGCACTACCACGCCCGGCTGATTTTTTTTTTTTTTTTTTTATTGTAGAGATGAGGTCTCACTGCCCAGGCAGGTCTCGAACCCACGGGCTCAGGCAATCCACTCACCTCAGCCTCCCAAAGGCGCGAGATTACAGGCTGAGCCACCGAGCCTGGCTGGAATCTTCCATTTTTAACAAGCCTTCCAGATAATTTGTTTGTCTATTTGTGTTTGAGTCAGTGTCCCACTCTATCACCCAGGCTGGAGTACAGTGGCATGTTCATAGCTACCACAGCCTCGACCTACTAGGCTCAGGTGATCCTTCCACCTCAGCTTTCCAAGTAGCTGGAACTACAGGCACACACTGCCATGCCCAGCTAATTGTTTGATTTATTGTAGAGATGAGGTCTCATCAAGTTGCCCAGGCTGGTCTTGAACCCGTGGGCTTGAGCAATCCTCTCACCTCGGCCTCCCAAAGTGCTAGGATTATAGACGTGAGCCACCACGCCTAGCCAAGCCTTAATAGTTTTGAAAGTAAAGGATCTCCAGATTAGAAAATGTGAGAATGCTAATCTAATCTATAGTTCTTTTATTTCATCAGCTATCCTAGTAATGCCTAGTAATTCTTTGCATGCTTTATGTTCCATTTTTGGCAAAGCCCATCATATGAAAATACTCTGTTAACTTATAGATATTTCTTAATAGGAACTTTTTTGAAATGCTTCATTTATTCTGTATCTTTGGATTTAGGTAATGAATATTCAAAGATACCTTCAGAAAGAAAGAAGCTTCTATGCACAAATGAGTTTTCCAAAGCTGGAAAAAATAAAAGAACTGCAATCCCTACTCCAAGTAAGTTGTGTACACAAAGAAACATAAAGTAATGGTTGGCCCACTTCAGAGTGATGCTAGGAAGGCAGTGGACTAGAACAGCTAAAAGCTTAGATGCAGCCGGGCTCAGTGGCTCAGCCTGTAATCCTGCCCTTTGGGAGACTGAGATGAGTGGATTGCCTGAGCCTGCCTGGGCAACTTGGTGAGACCTCATCTCTACAATAAATAAAAAAATGAGCCGGGCGTGGTAGCGTGTACCTGTAGTTCCAGCTACTTGGAAGGCTGAGGCAAAAGGATCACCAGAGCCCAGCAGGTCAAGGCTGCGGTGGCTGGGAGTGGCCACTGCACTCCAGTCTGGGCGACAGAGTGAGACTCCAACTCAAAAAAAAAAAAAAAAAAAAGCTTAGATACTGGTTTATATTCTAGTTCTCTCATTTTCTAACTTTGAGATCTTGAGCTACTTATCCTCAATAAACCCACTTCATGTAAGGTGAAAATAATTATACTATTGTGACTATTTCATCAAGTAGATATATAGATTGAGAATTTTTTTCCAATCTATATATCTACTACTGATTACTTAGCACAACAAATAGCATGTAGCAGGCATTCAATAAATACCTGATTAATGAATGAATGAATATCTATGAAGTACTTGTTACTATGCCTACTTCTATAAGTTTGTCATAAGTCTAAGGAGCTCCATTTGTGGATATGTAATTTTTCTTTTGTATCTTGTTTGTTGGAACATTGCTTGGCACATAAATGTTGAGTGTTGTATATTTATAGTAGTTAAAATGCTGGTCATCATATTAGAAATGGAATAAACATTCATATACTCAATTACAATAGCACAGAGCAGGACAACCCTCTTTTGGACCCCCTCCTGCTTGGGAGCTTTTTTGTCCTCTTAATAAACTCCTGCTTTCAAATAAATAAATAAACAAAAGACTAGCTATAGGCCGGGCTTGGTGGCTCAGCCTGTAATCCCAGCACTTTGGGAGGCCGAGATGCGTGAATTGCCTGAGCCCAAGGGTTCGAGACCCACCCGGGCAACTTGGCGAGACCTCATCTCTACAATAAATCAAAAATAAATTAGCCAGGCATGGTAGCGCGTACCTGTAGTTCCGGCTACTTGTAAGGCTGAGGTGGAAGGATCTCCAGAGCCCAGCAGGTCGAGGCTGTGGTGGCCGGGAGCATGCCACCGTGCTCCAGTCTGGGCAACAGAGTGAGACTCTAACTAAAAAAAAAAAAAAAAAATGAATAGCATAGAGCAGGGGTCAGCAAACTGCTGCCCACTGTCCATTTTGGCCTGTCTTATACCCCTTAAGATAATAATGGGTTTTACCTTTTTATTCTTTTTTTTTTAGTTAATTTTAACTTATTTATTATAGAGACAAGGTCTTGCCAAGCTGCCCAGGCTGGTCTCGAAAACCTGGGCTCAGGCAATCCTCTCGTCTCCGCCTCCAGTTTATAATTTTTTAATTTTTATTTTTTGAGTTGGAGTCTCACTCTGTCGCCCAGACGGGAGTGCAGTGGCTGCTCCCGGCCACCACAGCC